TAACAGAACGATCAGCTAATACTAAGGAGATTTTAGTGGGCTTGAAAGTGTGGTGTCCTAAACGTTTTGCTACTGAAAGAGGCATCATGTTTATGCTAGAACCTAAATCACAGAGAGCACGCTCAAAAGCTACATCATTGATGGTGCATGAAAGTACGAAGCTTCCAGGATCGTTTTTCTTTTCAGGGATTCGGCTTTGCAGGATAGAACTACATTCATGGGTTATCATCATAACGCCTTCTTCAAGAGTTAAAGAATTTGTTAGAATACCCTTCATGTATTTTCTTAAAGAAGGAATCATAGCACAAGCTTCTACAAAAGGTAATCTCACATTTAACTGATCAATCAACTCTTTCAGCTTAGCTTTTTCTTTTTCTTTCTTAGGGGCTCTTAAGGCTCTAGGATATGGAGGTTTAGGTTTGTAGACACGAGTTGGTGGAAGAGGAATCGGGTCTTCTCCAAGGATTTCCCGGGATGAATCTTCTCTTACTTCTTCTCCATCCTTTTCTCCTACCACTTCTTTTTCAACATCTTCATTCGTGATTCCCTCTTTTTCTTTCTCCTTTTCCTTACCCTTTTTCTCATCTTCGGGATATTTAGGAAATTCAGGCTCTTTGTAAGCTAATCCACTCCTAAGTGTGATAGCTTTCACATCATCGGAAGGATCTGCTTCACTTGAGCTTTCGAAAGAATTTTCACTTGGCTCTTCTTCAGATTCTTCTAAGTTCTTAGAATTAGTTTTGGCCATTATGCTAAGGAGGGTGGATAATCTTTCATCGAAATCCTTCTGCATCTCTTTTAGTTCAGATCTAAGATCACTAATCTCTTTAGACCTAGATTTTTCAAGCTCTAGAATTCTTTTGTTTAGGTTTTCAGCTTCAGAAGAGGGAAAACTAGGATAGGGAACATGATTAGATTGAATAGCCGAGATTGGTTCGAAAGGTGGTGTCCAACCAGGCTCGGAAGACGTTTTCCCGCGGTCAGGTGGCTCACGACCACGGTGAATCATGTCTTGGCCGCGGTCAGAACCAGCACGACCGCGGTGAAAGCTTGCTTGGCCGCGGTCCGATTGAATGGACCCGCGGTGATCAGAAACGAATGGAAAATCTTGAATTTGATAGACTTCTGCAGTGTTCACCATCCCTTGATCATAAGAATCCATTGGGTTGTCCCAACCATCAAAGTTACATGTATTGTGTACCCTATTTGGTTGTTGCAATCCAAGATGACTCATTATGTGACAGAGACACTTTATAACTTCCGAAATTTCTTCTTTCTTCTCAGGAAGTGCAGAATTACCAAATGTTACTTGATTTCGGATGCTTTTTCCTAAATTTTTAATGAAAACGTGAGCATCTTCTACAGATCTAGTTGTGAAATCTCCATTACTTGCTATATCAAAAGAGTGTCGTAACTCTGGAGTTATACCGCAATAGAAGATACCTAGCAGGTATTCCTCGGCATATCCATGGTGTGGAGAATCTCTTTGGTATTCCCTAAATCTTTCCCAAGTATCTAAAAGATCTTCATCTTCTTTTTGTTTAATTGTTCTTATCTTCTTTCTCAAGAGATTTGAACGATTTCTAGTGTAAAAACGATTTAGGAAAGCAGTTCTACACGCTGCCCACGTTTTTAGTGAAGCAGGTGGCAAAGATTTTAGCCATTTGCTGGCCTTATCTCTAAGAGAGAATGGGAAAAGACTACACTTGTGGTAATCCCCATTTGCTGTAATGGTTGCACATAATTCTTCGAAAGTCTCAATATGGTTTATCGGGTTTTCGAATGAATAACCAGAGAATTGATTTTGTTGAACTAAATGGATAAAGGGTACCTTAATTTCGGTTTTGCCATCCTCAGGTAAGGCTGGTTGAATAGCTCTTCGATCTCCCAAGAATTTCTCGAGTGAATCGAAACTTCCAATCAGTTCATCATCATCTTTGTGTTTGACCGATCCGATCAGCTCATTGTCATCATAAATCGGTTCTTCAAACTCATCATCAGTCAGGTCATCAACACTTGGATCACCATCCACACGATTTGGTGGATCACCAAGAGTTCCGGGAACATGTTCCCGGTCTCTCATCTCAGAGAAACCTGAAAAATTCAAAAGAAAAAGTAAAAGTAAACAAGTGTTCTAATGGATTTAAGCTGGGATTCGCAACGAAACAAATTTAAGTCCTCGGCAACGGCGCCAAAAACTTGATGCGAGCAAAAGCGGGGTTTGTTGTTTTTCGTTTACTAAGCTTCAGGTTTTAAATTTATAACCCCTAAATGTCTGCAAGTGCACAGATGTGCGCTGTAGTACTTAGGGTATCGATCCACATAGACTTAGTTGTTTCAGTACGAATTCACTGCAACGCTTAAATCAGATTAGAACTAAAAAGGTTTTGGTTTTGGTTTTGGGTTTTGGTTGTCACTAAATCTAAACTAGAAAGCAAAGAAAACAAAAGCAATTGAAGGCAATTAAAACAAGTAAAAACCGATTAAACTAAGGCTAATGAAAGCAGGTAATAAGCGAATAAATCAAAGACAAATTGAAAGCAGGAAAAATCGAATAAGAAGCAAAGGTTGTAAGCAATTAAAGACAAACGTTGGGGCTCAAGGGTATTTCGCAGGGGTTCATGGACTAAGCTATGTCGATTTTAAACAAGTGATAAAGGTAATCAACTACGTATGTTCTAGAACTCGAGGCACGGAAGTATGAATAGCCTACTTTCGCAGCACTAAACAACTATCTCTCGCAACCCTAATCAGTAGGTTTCCACTCTGATTCTGGAAGGGAGAAGATGCAATAGCAGAACAAGACTCATCAACATTCACAACTCAACTACAGGTAGGTTTCCACTCCTATAGAAGAATTGCTCGTTTCACCCTAGTTCAGACAATCAATGAAAGCTTTCGCAACATATCATATCAGATCGGCTTCTAAGTGGCCAGCAAAGAATCACGCAGTAAGATTAAAGGCAAACGAAGAACATCTAGAAGATTTTAAATCCTAAATCTATCGAATAATAAGCAAAGACACATGAAATTCCCTTTGAACAATCCCTTTAAACCCAACTGGGTAACTACTCAAACATATTGTAAACAATCATCACAGAGTATTGAAAGTTGCAGGAAATTAAAGAGAATAAGGAAGAAAAACGAAGAACGGAGAAGCAGATGGAGGCGCGATGGCTTCCTCCAGCGGCGGCTCCTTCTTCCGAGACGACGGCGGCTCTCTAGGGTTGATCCCACGAAATCTCTCTCTCTCTAAGTTGGCTAAGTTTCGGTTCTCTACACCTTTAGGAATGACCTAAAGGGGGTATTTATAGCTTCTGGGGTGGTTCTGGACACTTAGGGCTTCAAAAATTACGAAAGGAATTGATCTGGGCTTTAATTAAGTCGTCGGGAAAGTGAACGACCAAAGTCCGCGGTCGCGGTGGCTCTACCCGCGGGGAAATGGGTGTTGGCCACGGTCCCGGCACATGCTCTCTTCCGGAACTGCATTTTCTGTCATTCTTGCATCGGGAGTATCTGAAGATCTAACCGTTGGATTGTCTCCAAACCAAGTGCATTAGAAAGATGGTTGGATCCTCTATGTTGTCTCAAATTTTGGGGGTGATCAGACGGTGAGAATGTCTTCATCGCTTGTCATACTTCTGACGGTCTGCATTTATCCAAAATTGCTCATTTGTTCCAAATTGCATATCTTTTGCCCAAGTTTCCTGTAAAGTCTTTTGAAACTCTAAAACATTGAAAACATTTTGAAAACCTTTTAAAAAAGAGTTAAAACACCTGCATAAGATACAATTATGATCCATAAAAGTGGTCAAAATACGGTGTTATCACCTTCTGAGCGCATCTTTCTTCTGTCTGAAGTAACGTTCTTCGTTGGAAAGTTTTTCAACTATACGTAAGAACAAATGTTTGTTCATCCTAAAACGTCGCCGGAAATAATTAGCCGGATATGTTGGAGTTTCACTGAAATAGTCGTTCCATAATCGGTTGTGGCCTTCTTCACGATCTCTTTCGATAAAAGCCCGTTTTTTCCGTGATTTGGTTGTCTCCAGTTGATCGCCATAATAATTCAAAAAATTCTGTAAAGTTTGATCGAACATTTGCTCTAAGTTTTCTTCAAAAGCTTCATTAACTGGTCCATTAAAGTCGTTGTTGGATGAAGAAGCCATATTTTTTAAGTAATTTGATTGGAAATGAAAGAGGAAGAAGATAATAAAATTGAGAAAGCTTGTGAGAATTAAAATGAGGAAGCTTGTTTGGTATAAATGAGTTGATAAGGAAGAAGAAGGAAGAGTATGGAAACTTAGATTGGTATCAAAGTAAAAAGAAGTTTGATGTTTTTGCTTTAGAGAGAAGTGACGATAAAAAGAGAGAAGAAGTTTGATGAATATATGAAACAACAATTGCAGGATAGTCTCTATAAATAAACGACTATAACTTATACATGTGGCGTCAAATTGTTTTTACAATGTGTGGTCTCAAAATTAGATAACTACTTTGTGGTCTGAGAACAAAAAAATAAAAGACAAGCCAATAAAAAAAAGACTTGTGACACTCGTTTGGTGTTTTGTGACCACGCCTATGCAATAATTTTTGTCCACCGAGTGGGAAATCTGTCACCACATCTCTTATCTGAAACACAAAAGTACAAGTACAAACATAAGGTGAGCTAGCATAATAATTCAACAAGAGCAAAGTTCATACTTAAAAGAAAAGGTTGGCATCTTAAGTTTTATATAAAGATCAAACTTAAAGCTCATAATCTTTAGTTAATTATCTTAAGTTTTAATCTTAAGGTATTACTTAATGAAAAGAGTAAAACTTTATCAGTTCATAGATAAAGAACATTCAAGTACTTAACCGAGACATTCAAGTTCATAGATAAAGAACAAAAGTAACAACCACATTCAAGTACTTAACCGACAGATCAGACCCAACTTAAGCAAGTACAAACACCAACTTACGGTAAACATAAACATAAACTTAAACAGAACACCATTCTAAAACAACTCAGTAATGAGTTTCTTCTTAACATATTCCTCATAGTCTGATAGTGGCACTTGCTTGGCTAAAAGACATTCAAGTATACCCATCTTCTTGATTTTTGCCTTCATTTCCAAGTCTTTCTCTTGAATTTGCCACACTGCTTGAAGCGCAAGCAATGGTTCTTCTTTCTCTACCGCTGACTTCTTGCCCTTGGCTTTTGATGCCTTGACACCTGCAGGTCGCTTGCCTCCATTATCTTCATCGCAAGGCTGGGTCTCCTCAGCACCCGAACCATCTAACACTCTTCTTTTTTTGGAGTTTCCAGCGACTTTGTCTGTTGAAAGAGCATACCATTTCTGATCATTCCTGAGCTCATACCAAACATGTTCTAAAGTGAACTTCTTCTTGTGATTGTTGTAGAAGATCTCATGAGCCATTTTGAGAATATCATTCTCATTCTGACCACTGGATCTCTCTCTACAAGCAGCCTCATATGCTCCACAAAATTTGCAGACTTGATCATTTATTTTCTGCCATCTTTGCTTGCATTGTATCGCCTCTATCTTCTCACCAACACACTTTGAAGATGCTGAAAAGTAAGTGGCTATGCGCTTCCAAAAGGCAGTTGACTTCTGTTCATTTTCCACCACAGCATCCTTGCTCGTGTTTAACCACGAGCTGATGAGAAGAATATCATCACTCGGGCTCCACTGTCTCCTTTCCTTCTTTCTGTTGCAGGTGATGCTTCACCGATGGATGCAGCACACAGAGGACTTTCTTCAAGAAAGCTAGAGGGATATCCGCAAAAAAACAGAATCTTGTTGACTGTTCAACAGTTCAACAAAGTTTGAGGTGGTGAAAGATGGACCCGTAGAAGAGAATGCCATTTGGTACAAGGAAAGATGAGATGAAGATGAGGCAAGAAGCTTTTGGGAATGGGTTTTCGGAAGAAACAGATGAAGCAAGAAGTTTTTGGGAATGGGTTAAAGGATTAAAATAAAAGATGAGAAGAAAGAGATGAAGCAACAAGCAAAATGGGTTTTAGGGCTTAGGCTTTAGGCTTTAATTAGGTCATCTGGAGATGAAGGGAATCGATTTAGGCTTTAATTAGGTCATCTGGGAAGTGAACTTTTTCTGGCAGCAGTCGCGGTGCTTGTACCCGCGGAGAACTATGCTTTGGCCGCGGTCCCGGCTTGTGTTGTCTTTCGAGACTGCATTTTCTTTCTTTAGTGCATCGGGAATATATATGAAGATCTAACCGTTGGATTGTCTCCAAACCAAGTGAGTTAGAAAGCTGGTTGTATCCTCTACGTTGTCTCAAATTTTGGGGGTGATCACTTGTCACTGGTAGTCTGCATTTATCCAAAATTGCTCATTTGTTCCAAATTGCAAAAAAATTGAATTTATTTTCACAATTTTTATTTACTTAATAACCAAAAAATCCTCAAATTTTTATTTACCAAAAAAATCTTTAACTTTTTTATTCACAAAAACCTCAACTTTTTATTTATCAAATTGTTTTAGACATTTGAGGATTAAACAAATTATTCAACGAAAAGTTATAGATTTCTTTTGTCCACCGCGTAGTTGGTGGTTTTTTGGTTGATGTTATGAGTTGAAAGTTTTTTAATTACTTAATAACCAAAAAAATCCTCAAATTTTTATTTACCAAAAAATTCGTAATTTTTTTATTCACAAAAACCTCAACTTTTTATTTATCAAGCTGTTTTAGACCTTTGAAGATTAAACTGATTATTCAACAAAAGTTAAAGATTTCTTTTGTCCACCGGATAGTTGGTGGTTTTTTGGCTGATGTTGTGAGTTGAAATTTTTTTTTTGACATTTTTCTCAATTAAAAATATAAAACACTATTTTCTAAATTCCTTTAAACAAAAAAAAATATGAGTCCACTATAAATAAAATAAAATTTCCATCACTTATATGTAAAAGAAGATTAAGATTTAACACTGGAGAAATTAGAGTTTTTTTCCTCTCTCTCTTCTCTCATCTTCATCTTTCGGAGAGATGGAGAACGTTTCTCTCAGTTTAGGTGTAAATATTCCGATCAGTATCATAATGTCTTCCAGTTTTAGCCGGACATAATAATTCCGGCAATCCAGATTTAGTTTTCCGTTTTTTGATTTTTTTTTTTGCTTTCTAAATTGGATTCTTCAATTTTGTGTGAAGATATCTCTTTGTTAGTCCTAAGTGGAGCAAAGAATTTTTTTCCCAACTGAAGAATTGGTTTTCATGGGGTTTATGAGACAAGCAATTGGATTTTCCATTTCGGATTTTGTGTTAATCCTCTACAGATCTATCTAATAGAGATGGTTAAAATCTTCTTCATTTTCTGGTTTCATTTGCTCATTTCGGCAGAGAGTTATATCTCTTTTACGTCCCCTATTGAAGAAGCCTTACGTGGCAGAGGGTGACAGGTCATGATGAGAACCTTGATAGACGGTGGTAATTTTTGAAGTCGAGAAGATTTCAACCATTTGGGGCTTGATCTAGTTATCTGTGAAGCTGCAAACAAGGCTGGAGCAGCACGTGTAGCAGTCGAGCTAGCTTAAGAGTTGACACAGAGAAGACTTGTGGAGCAATCTACACTCGTGGAGGTGAGTTGGTAGCTGAGTTAGAGCTGCAGGACGTGCTGGACACTTCAAGAGACGAGAAGCTAACTTGGATAAGAGGCTTGGAGTATCTTAGAGGATTTTCGAAGAATATATCAAGTTTCCTTTATCTTAGGTGAAGATAAGGAAGGAGGAGATTCTCTTGAAGATTTCGAGAAATCGCCAAGGAGAATCTCGGCTAGGTTTAGCCACAAGTCCTATTATGTATAAATAGGCGTGTGATAACCTTGTAGGGTTTTAACACAAGTGAGTGAATTCTTAGCAAAGGGTGAGCGAAATTCTTGTAAGAGTTTGTGAGCTAGAATGCTAAGAGTTTTGGGTGAGAGGTTCTTGAATCACTTATCGATTCAAGAACAAGGAGAGGCTAGTGTAGCAAATCAGGGAGTGTCTTGAGTTTGCTCTAAATTGGGTTCTGTATACTTGTAACTTACAAACAGATTTACTAGTACTATATTTTCATGTAGAGAAAATCCTTGTGTTGTGTTCTGTGTTAGTTCCTGAATTACGGCTCTTGCATTTTCATTTGGTATCAGAGCAGTCATTTGTGTGTATTGCAAACATGTGAGATCCTGCGGAGAAGATGGAGAGCTATCAGGAGATGGTGAACAACACCAGAATCATCTTGGACGCTGGGAACTACGGTTTTTGGAAAGCTAGGATCAGATCCATGATCAAAGGGATCGATCCATTAGCATGGAAGGCTGTACTAGAGAAGTGGGAAGAGCCAATGGTGGCTGATGCAGCTGGAGTCTTTCATCCAAAATCAGAAGAAAGCTGGACTGAAGAAGAGTCAAAAAGGGCAAATGAGAACTTGAGAGCTTTGACCACCATACACACCAACATCTCAAGGAAGACATTTGAGCTAATTCAGGGTGTTGAGACTGCTAAGGAGGCGTGGGATATTCTGAAAATCCAGTTTGAAGGAACCAAGAAGGTTCAAAGCTCAAGAAAAGACATGCTGGCATCAAGGTTCAAGAATCTGAGGATGGAAGAGTATGAAAATATTGCTGACTTTAGTTCAAAGCTCAGTGCCCTAGCACAGGAAGCGGCAGTCTTAGGTAAGAAGTACAAAGACAAAAAACTGGTGAAGAAGTTCCTAAGATGCCTGTCATCAAGATTCATGGGATACAAATCTGCACTCAGCGTGTCAAGCAATACAGAAAATATGCCCTTTGGTGAATTAGTTGGTATGTTGCAAGCTCACAAGATGGAACTGGATAGTCTAAAGAAGCCTATAAGTCTAGTTTTGAAGTGTGAAGAAGAAGATGATGATCCTATCAGTCTTCTTGTTAGGAATTTTGATCGTGCACTACGAAAAGCTGGAAGGCCTCAGAAGAAAGTCACCTCATTTAAGAGAACGTCTGAAGGAGACAAGTCATACGAGAAGAGTGATGTGCAGTGCCATTAATGCAAGGGGTATGGACATCTCAAAAGTGACTGTCCAACGATCAAGCGCTGAAAGATTCAGTGTTTCGGATGCAAGGGATACAGACACACTCAGCTTGAATGTGTCAATGACCATAATCGGAGGAAAGAGAAATCAATGTTTGCTGAAGAAGATTCTGATGACGAAAGTGATGATGACTCTGTTGAAGAAGTTAACAACTACGTCACCTTTGTTGGTATCACTGAGTTTGTGGAAGGACAGGAAGAGTCTGAGTTAGAGTCTGATGAAGAAAAGGAATATGACCAGGTGAACAGCTACAAGGAGGTACGTGAAGTTCTGGTGAGCATCAGCAAAAAAAATACTGAATTAAGAAAGGAAAATTAGAGGTTAACTGATCTGATAGATACACTCAGCAGGGATCTTGAGGCAGCACAATGCCTAAGTCAGGAAAGTGCTGGTCTAATCAAGGAGAAACTGGTACTTGCGAAAAAAGCCGAAAGCTTGAGACAGCATCTGAAGACAGAGAAGAAAAAATCAGAAAATCTGTAGTCAGAACTGGATCAACTGAAGAAACAGATTCAGATGTTTGCCAGAACTAAGCACTTCGATAAGATCCTGAGCTATGGACGACAAACCAACGTGAAGCATGGACTGGGCTACACTTGATGGTAACCGAAAGACAGATGAAATCAAGTTTGTCTCATTGAGTTATGTCAATCGAGAGGGTCAAGGTACTAGCACGGGAACTCGGAAGGGTAAGGAGTGCACTACTGCAGAAAGGTGGGACACATCAAGGCGTACTGTAACAGCGGGTGGAGTAAGATAAAGCAACTGAGAAAACAAGAAAAGTTCAGCTGGAATGGGTTCAAGAATCAGATATTGGTAAAGAAGGAAGATCAAAAGTATGAGCACAAGAAGTCAGCAGAAAACCACAGTGTGAAGCCAAGGAGATTAACTGTCAAGGAACCAATGAGAGCCGATCCAATGTCCAGGATGTGGTACGACTTCAAGTGTAACATGGCAATTGTGGAAAGTGAGAAGGATGAGTCAGATCTCTGGTATTTTGACAGTGGGTGTTCACGTCACATGACAGGAAAACAAGGCTACCTTCAAAACATCAAGACGATTAAGAGAGGAAGAGTGATATTTGGTGATGGAAGTGTTGGAGCTATTCAAGGAAAGGGCAAGACAAGGGACGAAAATCAACCTGAGTTAGTCAATGTCTACCTTGTTCAAGGATTGAAAGCCAACCTCATCAGCATAAGTCAACTATGTGACGAAGGACTCACAGTGATTTTCACTAACAAGGGCTGTAGAGCAGTAAACGATGATGGTCAAATCGGTCTCACAGGATTTAGATCAGGAAACAACTGCTACATGTAGAACAGGTCAGGATCGGTGATGAGCTGTTTCAGTGCTC